GATATAAGTACCTACTACTTCACTTGAATGCATAATTTAAATTAGTTATAGCCATGTGTTTTATTCAGGATTTGTTTGAATTATTTATCAATTGTATATCACTATTATGATTGAATGGCGGTCATTTGCCAGTGGCGGGTGTGATATTTTTTTATTTATTACTTATATTTTCAAATATTTTCAATATCAGGTTAGTTTAGTATTGTTGTCATTGTCTTTCAGGTTTCCTCTTAAATATCAAACAAGGAATGGTATGTGGCTGAAGAATATGCATCTAGCTGACTGGGTTCCCACAAAAAATAGTAGGATCTGACCTACAGATTAAGGTAATTTAACATTTAACTCAACATATTAAGAAATTTACAACAACAAATTATTTATTTACTCAGTTCACAGATAAATTCTACCAATTATTACAATAATCTGAAATAAACATATACTAATTAAGTTGAGGACTAATTCATATAATTTAGATATATTTGTTTGAATGCAAGTAACAAAGAGACCTCATCTAAGATCTAGACAGCTTCTTACACCTACAGCTTCGACATCTAGGAAAAATGATCCTCCCCAAGAAGATCCAGACACCCCCAGAAAGAAGCATCTTAGAAGACGACTTTTTGCAGAAAGGGTAAAGAGCCAAGAGAAATCGAGAGAAATAAAAGTTTTGAATCAGCGGGTGAGAAGACTGAAAAGACATATTGTTTCTCTCAACCAAATAGTGAAAGCCTTAAAACAAAATAATTTGGTATCTTCTGAAAGCTCAGTTCTGCTTGAATACATGCCAGAAATTACGAAGGAATTACAAAAGCGTAAGTTGGGAAAAAAGCTTCAGTATTCTCCAGAACTGTGGAAGTTTGCAATTACTTTGTGTTTTTTCTCCCCAAGAGGATATGGTTATGTACGAAATGGTTTTGAAACCTGTTTACCCCATAGAAGCACTATAGGAAAATGGTTTAAGACCATTAATGCTGAACCAGGTTTCACTAGTGAGGCAATTAATGTTTTGCAGAAAAATGTAGAATATTCGGATAAGCCTGTACTATTAAGCCTCATTATAGATGAGATGTCCATTCGGAAACATCTTAGGCCCGTATCGTCAGTCGTCCCTACAATTGTAGGGCGCCTTTATGGCCTCCTTGATTGTCATACTTCTTTCTCTCCTTTAAAAATATCTAGATTACACTTGTCCCCTGTCAGCGTCAGCGCTCTCCTATTGTGAAGATTTGTTTTCTTTTTAAATTGTAGGAAATTTCAGGCTGATAAAACATGATATAACTCAAAAGCAAGCAAAATCTGATGCAAATAGATGCTTGTGAGATAACCTCAAAATAGAGCGCTGACAGGGAGAAGTAGAAAACTATGACAATCAAGGAGGCCATAAAGGCGCCCTACAATTGTAGGGACGACTGACGATACGGGCCTTAAATGGGATGGTAGAAAATTTCATGGATATGTCAATTATGACATTGATTTAGAAGATTATTCTGACTCAATGGCCAAAGAGGTATTTGTTATGATGACTGTTAACATTAATGGAACTTGGAAGCTGCCAGTTGGCTATTTCCTTGTAGATAGTTTGAATGGAAATAAAAAAAGGTTACTTGTTTCACAGTGCATACAATTAGTTTCTGCTACAGGAGCACGAATTGTATCGCTTACATGTGATGGTGCTCCTTCAAATATTGCAATGGCAAATACTTTGGGAACCAATAATTCTTATGACTCATTAAATCATATTTTTCTTTAGATGGTGACAATATATATGTTTTTTATGATCCAAGTCATATGATAAAATTAATAAGAAATGCTTTTGGGGAAAGATAACTACTAATAGATGACAATGGGAATTTCATTAAGTGGGAATTTGTAGAAAAATTGAAAAAACTTTAAAAATCTGAAGGACATTATTTAGGAAACAAGCTGCGAAAAGCCCATTTAAATTTCTTTAAACAGAAAATGAAGGTGAGATTGGCAGTGCAATTATGAAGTGCTTCTGTAGCAGATGCGCTTTGTTATTGTGAACAACAATTGAACTTGGAGGAATTTAAAAAGTGTCAGGCTACTGCTAAATTTATTAATATTATAAATAACTGTTTTGACATTTTAAATAGTAGATCTTTGATTCCTCCTTTGAATGTAGGAGAAAAACAGGTGTTCTGGGTTTAATTATATCTCTAAGAAGTGCTTTGTTAATGTATAATTTTAGATAGAAACGAATTAATCTATTTGCCATTATATAACGTGAGTCAAGACCACCTTGAATTGTTTTTCTCTTCAATAAGGTCTCAAGGTGATTGGAATAATAATCCAACAGCTCGACAATTCACTTCAGCCTATAAAAGACTAATTGCTAGAGCAGAAATTAGGGACGACGGTGTGGGTAATTGCATTCCACTGGACGATATACCAATTTTAGCCCAATCCAGTAGACTAAAAACTACAGTGGATGATCTAAATGCAGATAATTTAAACTTGTTGGGTGAAATTTCAGGAGCAACCTTCTTTACAAACAATATGGAGGGACCATGACTATATAATGAACAGTCATGTGATAAGTGCGTGATCCACACAAATAATTTATATAGCTGGTTTTGTTGCTCACCAATTAAAAAAAAATATCAGTCACCCACTGGTGACATGCAATATTTTTTAAATTCTCCAATAACAACAAAAACTCGAGGTGGTTTAACTTACCCGTCTAAAGACGTTATAGAAATTTGCAAGCTCGCAGAGCATTTCATAAGAGTAAATGAAACTATATTAATGAAAACAAATAGTGTTAGTATTATTAAAAATAAAATTTTATTTGAAATTATTCAATTGGAGTTATTTAATAATTTAACAACATATGTTTTAAACTCTCCCACCAATCATATATTAGGATACATTTTATAACAAAACGAAAATCGGAAATAACAGATCCTGTTAGAAGCCATTTAACAAAAACCATTTTATTTAAAGGACAATAAAATAGTTCTTGTTACATTTACTATAGCAATAAATTATCTCAGTTCATACTGAATGTTCATTAAAAAAAACATTCAATATAAAATAACAATAAACATCTTACATATTATTTTTAAATCACAATATAACATGTGCAATCAACACATTCAAGTTATGTTAGGCATTTTAAACAAATATGCTCTCAATAGAGGCATATATGATGATAATCATGTTTACCAATAATTGAAATGTACACTGTAATAATTATAAATAGTACCATAATATTATAACGCAGTCATACTCAATAAATGTTTCTGTGTAAACTACATTTTTATTTTTAATAATACTAACACTATTCGTTTTTATCAATACAGTTTCATTTACTCTCATGAAATGCTCTGTAAGCTTGCAAATTTCTATAACGTCTTTAGACGGGTAAGTTAAACCACCTCGAGTGTTTGTTGTTATTAGAGAATTTAAAAAATATTGCTAGTCACCAGTGAGTGACTGATATTTTTTTTAATTAATGAGCAACAAAACCAGCTATATAAATTATTATTTGTGTGGAACACTCACTTATCACAGGACTGTTCATTATATAGTCATGGTCCCTCCATATTGTTTGTAAAGAAGGTTGCTCCTGAATTTCACCCAAGTTCACATTATTTGCATTTAGATCATCCACTGGAGTTTTTAGTCTACTGGATTGGGTTAAAATTGGTATATCATCCAGTGGAATGCAATTCCCACACCGCCGTCCCTAATTTCTGCTCTAGCAATTAGTCTTTTATAGGATGAAGTGAATTGTTGAGCTGTTGGATTATTATTCCAACAACCTTTAGACCTTATTGAAGAGAAAAACAATTCAAGGTGGTCTTGACTCACTTTATATAATGGCAAATAGATTAATTCGTTTTTATCTAAAATTATGTCATTATACATCAACAAAGCACTTCTTAGAGATATAATTAAACCCAGAAAACCTGTTTTTCTCCTATATTCAATAAATTTTTCTCCATCAATAAATTTCAACGATGATATATAATTGATTGCCTCCTCAATGAAGGTTTTTGTTGAATCTATATTTCGAATGCATAGAGACTTTTTGTAACCTGGAGGAATCAAAGACTATTTAAAATGTCAAAATAGTTATTTATAATATTAATAAATTTAGCAGTAGCCTGACACTCTTTAAATTCCTCCAAGTTCAATTGTTGTTCCCAATAACAAAGCGCATCTGCTAAAGAAGCACTTAATAATTGCACTGCCAATCTTACCTTCATTTTCTGTTTAAAGAAATTCAAATGGGCTTTTCGCAGCTTGTTTCCTTAATAAAGTCCTTTGGATTCTTGAAGTTTTTTTAATTTTTCTACAAATTCCCACTTAATGAAATTCCCATTGTCATCTATTAGTAGTTTTCTTTCCCCAAAGACATTTCTTATTCACTTTATCATATGACTTGGATCATAAAAAACATAAATATTGTCACCATCTAAAGAAAAATATGTTTTTAATGAGTCATAAGAATTATTGGTTCCCAAAGTATTTGCCATTGCAATATTTGAAGGAGCACCATCAAATGTAAGCGGTACAATTCGTGCTAGTGTAGCAGAAACTAATTGTATGCACTGTGAAATAAGTAAACTTTTTTGATTTCCATTAAAACTATCTACAAGGAAATGGCCAACTGGCAGCTTCCAAGTTCCATTAATGTTAACAATCATCATAACAAATACCTCGTTGGCCATTGAGTTAGAATCATCTTCTAAATCAATGCCATAGTTGACATATCCATGAAATTTTCTACCATCCCATTTAAGATGCTTCTGAATGGACATCTCACCTATAATGAGGCTTAATAGTACAGGCTTATCCGAATATTCTACATTTTTCTTCAAAACATTAATTGCCTCACTAGTGAAACCTGGTTCAGCATTAATGGTCTTAAACCATTTTCCTATAGTGCTTCTATGGGGTAAACAGGTTTCAAAAGCATTTTGTACATAACCATATCCTCTTGGGGAGAAAAAACATAAAGTAATTGCAAACTTTCACAGTTCTGGAGAATACTGAAGCTTTTTTCCCAACTTACGCTTTTGTAATTGCTTCGTAATTTCTGGCATGTTTTCAAGCAGAACTGAGCTTTCAGAAGATACCAAATTATTTTGTTTTAAGTCTTTCACTATTTGATTGAGAGAAACAATATGTCTTTTCAGTCTTCTCACCCACTGATTCAAAACTTTTATTTCTCTGGATTTCTCTTGGCTCTTTACCCTTTCTGCAAAAAGTTGTCTTCTAAGATGCTTCTTTCTGGGGGTGTCTGGATCTTCTTGGGGAGGATCATTTTTTATAGATGTCGAAGCTGTAGGTGTAAGAAGCTGTCTAGATCTTGGATGAGGTATCTTTGTTACCTGCATTCAAATACCTATATCTAAATTATATTATTTAGTCCTCAACTTAATTAGTATATGTTTATTTCAGATTATTGTAATCATTGGTAGAATTTCTCTGTGGACTGAGTAAATAAATAATTTGTTATTGTAAATTTCTTAATATGTTAAATTACCTTAATCTGTAGGTGTTTTGGAAGTTCGTCAAAGATTGTAGGGACTGCATCATCCAAAAGAGAGGTTCTGTTTCCAACTTTGTCAAAAGCATGGATTTCAAAATGTGGGAACCCAGTCAGCTAGATGCATATTCTTCAGCCACATACCATTCCTTGTTTTATATTTAAGAGGAAACCTGAAAGATAATGACAACAATACTAAACTAACCTGATATTGAACATATTTGAAAATATAATTAATAAATAAAAAATATCACACCCTCCACTGGCAAATGACCACCATTCAATCATAATAGCGATAAATTCAAACAAATCCTGAATGAAACACATGGCTATAACTGATTTAAATTATGCATTCAAGTGAAGTAGTACTTATATCACTGAAATAATATTGTCGCAGTCGTTTAAAATGGAGTTTTGTGCCTTAGAGGTAAACGATCGTAACTCCATTTTTGCAGTTTTTGTGATTATCTGCCTATAATTAGTATCCCTGGTTAATCTTTACGTGGAGTAAATGATCGTAGCGCCTAACCACGATAATCATGAAATATATGAAATAGAACAAGCAGCTAGTGATTTTTTGTTAGAGGTCGCTTCTTCATACATAGGCACAATACTATCATATGAATCATCGCTACGCAGCGGTAAACAGTCGTGTCTCCGTTGCGCACCGCTTGCTTTACCAACTATGTTGTTCAATCATTCTTCAAAGTTGATCAAGGTGCTTAAGTAATCAAAAAACGGTAGTAATGTCCTCAAAGTCTCAAAAATTAGTGCAGCTTGCACTGCAGGAGGAAATCGATTCTCGAGAATCTAGTAAGTACGACATAATAGATATTATAGGAGTCCGAGCCAAAACAGGAACATTATGATGATCGTAAACTACTTTTACATATTACAAATTATAAGTCCTTCATTAAAGTGTATCATTCACAAGTTTCTTCTACATGGACACACACACACATGGAAGCTGATCATATCCACGCACTTATCGGACGAGTTATAAAAAAACAACCAACCATGAAAATATGTACGCCATGGGACTGGCAGCAACTTATAAGATCAACCGGAGCCACAGTTTTTGAGATGCAGTTAGATGACTTCAAGAACTTCGAGGCCTTATATTCCGGCACAGATCACCTCTCATTCAAAAGAAACAGACAGTAGACAAAGAAAGCTTTTTAGTGTCATTAGCGGTGTGGCTTGAGGTTCGAAAACAGGATCCAGGGATACTCTACTATAAAACAGACATATTCCAAGAGGACTACAAAATGGTAAACATGAATAGATCCACTAGAAAACCGATAGGGTTACCACTAGAACTATGTTCGCCGCGTCAAACCCCAAAAGGACTTAACAAGAAAAAGCACGATCATCTTCTCCTGCTTCTGCAATGGATAACAGAAGCATTTCATGATTTTTATAAAAATATTCCTGTGCTGGGTCAACAAGGAGATGATGACGACGACGACGATTGAATATATATTCTCCAGATGTCATTTTTTGTAATAATAAAATGTAGCCTATTTCCACAAATTGTACTTACTGTGTTTCATCCTAGGCTGCACCTGGATTTTATTATCATAGTAAATAGTCGTATCAAATATCGAATTCTAAGATCATTAACATTAACTGTTCTGTGTACCATATAATATGTTTTCCCAAAAAACTATATTTGCATATTAACAGTAACATGAACAAAAAGCCATTCTGCTACTAACTCAATCTTTAATTTGCTTGTTCTCTGAATTGCATTATATGGAGTTACAACTATATACCTCTAAGGCACAGAGTTATAAAGTAAATACGGTATTCACGTTATCAATACAACTACAAAATTTACCTATGAAAGGTTACTCCTGGCACTTTATTCTCACTGTGATTTTTGCAACCAAAAGCCGAACACAACACCATTCTTACAGAATAAAAAAGTCGCAGTCTTTAATGCCCTATCCAGACTCTTGCGCGAAACCGCGAACTACCCGCGACCCATTAGTGTGGATCCCATTCGCGTATTTTTCGCCGCTTCACGTCTCGTTCACGCGTTGTTCCCGTTTGTTGTCGGTTTTTTGTCCCGCGACGGGTTCGCAAGTCGCGAACATGACTAGGCTCCTCAAGTCCTCATTCGCTGTTGGCTCAGTTGCCTCGGCCCGAGTGATTGTGTTTTTTCCACTTCTTTTCAAGTGTTTTAGTTTTACTTATACAGGGTGTTGATATGCAAATATTTAAGGGTGTGAAACTACATGAAAAATTAATGTTAGTTTGCTTTTTAAACTATGATCCAAAAATGTTTCCTTACAAAAACTCGGGGTGTTGAAGTTTTAGAAAAAAATGGAAATTAATTAATATTTTCAGAACCGCTTCCGATATTTCACTGATATTTAGTACTTAGTGAATGTTAATAAAGTTGCATATTTTTCAATGCAAAAATAATTTCTAGTTTTAACTGTGGCGTGCGTACGGGTATTGACTTCGATATTTTTTAAGAAAAAAAATGGTACGCCAAGGATTTTTGCCAAATAAAAATCATTTTTGAATTCCCCGTTCAATTTAAAACAAATGATCTCTCTTGAGTTGCTTTTTTCGATGCGGCATTTTTGAGTAAAAAAAATAAAAACCGTTCTATTGTCTAACTTGCAAAATTATTATTAATTTAATTGGAAAAATTAAACATATTAGCGGTAATGAACAACAACAACTGACAACATTAACGTAATATTAAAACAACAAAATGATTACAAAAATTGTTGAAAATGGCCCCCTTCACTTAGTATGCGTGCTTCCGCCCTCCTTCTCATGGAATTGCGCATTCGTTGAAATATCCCTGGAGTGTTTTTTATTCTATCACAAGCTGCAACTATGATTTCTCTTAATTCCTGTACAGTGTTAATGGAACTTGTGTACACTAGTGTCTTAAGATAGCCCCACAAAAAGAAATCTAAACTGTTGAGGTCAGGGGACCTTAGTGGCCAATCCAACGATTTGGATAAACAGTTTGTAAATAATTACGAACCGCTACACTGAAATGCGCTGGTGCACCATCATGCATGTACCACATATTGTTTCTTATTACTAACGGAACATCATCAAGCAGCAAAGGCAACTGTTGTTGAAGAAAATCGGACAGAACCAGTTTCAACAAGACGATGATGAATATTATCTCTGGTGATAAATCCGTCTGGCTAGCTCACCATTACCGTCGGCAAGGCCATATACGTAATGCATTTTCGCCATTTCTGCATTTGAATAATTCTCACCATTATTAACAAGATTGTAAAAACTAAATAATGAAAAAGATGTCACAGCGAACAGATTTGAATAACAGATACTTGTCAGATGTCAAAAACCAGTGACATATTCCAGAGCAACTAGATATTTATTGCCAAATTGCATTCTTCAATTATTACATTAATTTTCTCGGACAATAGAACGGTTTTTATTTTTTTTTTACCCAAAAATGGCGCGCAACTACTCCCGGCATCTGAGCCACCAGCGAATGAGGAGAGCCTAGTCATGTTCACGCCTTGCGAACCCTTTGTCGCGGGACAAAAAACCGACAACAAACGCGACAACGCGCGAACGCGACGTGAAGCCGCGAAGAATACGCGATGGGATCCACACTCACGGGTAGCGGGTAGTTCGCGCGTGAGTCTGGAGAAGGTACGGGGCAGGTTTCGAGATTCGCGAGTGAGTGTGGAGAGGGTATTATACACAATAGCACATAGACACAGAAAAAAAAGCTTGGAGTCGGTTTCAAGAACAGGACTCAAATAATTGCATAATCTTCAATAATTGGACACACTTACTGCGCCGGTATGTGAATGCGCGTTACGAGTCCACTCTCTTTCCTCGTCTAAGGTAAATACCATTTTCATTTGGTTATTCGCTTTGTTTGTCAGCTAATTCTCATAGTCTGTAGTGAGAATCAAAGTGCATGCATGTGCATACTACAAGCACAGCTTAGATAACAAATCAGCTATGAAACCACAAAACACATAAGACTGAAGAAGTAGGAGCTGCACGTTAAACAATGGCAACACCGTTGACGTTTTGTCAGATGGTTGCGCCGCCTACTTGCCTGTAGATCTGGAGGAACTATCGAAAGAATGCCGAGAACGCGCCTGTAATAAGGAATGCTAGGAATGTGCCGAGCTGCCGGGGATTTCGTTTGTTCAAAATTTGAAATCTGCTGAAAATGATATTTCCGATATTGAACATGAACATATATTCGAAAAAATATCTCCAATAAGGGTAATATCTCTTTCAGCAATTTTGCTGAAAAAAAAGTTCAGCATAATAAAATCCAACCCTAATAATTATGAAGCACCAAATTTATTTAGTTTCAAAAAATACTCATATGCATGTTGACAATGGTATAAAAATTGTATTACATAGAATATAGATAGATTTATTTCAAATTCATGTTGAGTGTTGTAAAACACAAGTGTCTCACTTCAATGTACCGCTTCTTGATTATTATGAAACAATACAGAAAACACTAATGTAATTCATAATTGTTTGTAAATTTTTCATTAGTTTGCTCAGTTCTATCCCTTCAATTTGTTGGCCTTTCATACTTAATACAACTGTGCCAACTACAAGGATTATAAAGAGGCTGAATCCAGACATGCAATTTTAAATAAATGATCTACCAAATACAACATGCCTATATGTTAAGTTCACAGCCTACCTGTAGCACTTTATGACATGACAGAGTCTTCTGAACTTCTGCATATCTCACAATAGTCACAATACATATCACGTATACCGTTAAAGGTACTGATAGTGTTGTTTTATATTTTATTCTCATTTTTAACGAAATATTTCCAAAAGCGTTGATAATCTCGATAT